GGGCAGCCAGAAGGAAGGTGCGTGCCCCGCCGCGCCCCGCGGAAGCCGAGCGCACGGGGCAGAGCGGCCCCTCCACGCTCCTGTCTGTGTTTTGGTCTGGTTCACGAAACCCAACAGGCCTAACTCCTTTTGTCTTCTGGTTTAACTTTTCATCTGCCGCTTGAGATGGATGTCTCCCCCGCTGTGTGCCACACGCAGCGACCTAGGAGTCGCTACCATCAAGAAATTGCCGGGAGCCCCCTCTCCCGAAGCAGCACGGACCACCTGTGATTTGTCCCTTATGTGTCAACTCCTCATTAGTGGGAAGGAAGACCTGATGCAGCCTCCTGTGGGCAGGTCCCAAGATTCTCCGAGTCCACATCCCCCGTGATTGTAGCTCCCCTCTTAGCAGGCGACGGTTTCCAGGTTAATGATAAAATCCACTGTTAGGGCTGACTCGGTCTCTGTTTAATCAAGGATCTTCTGGGGAAGCAAGTTAAGTGATGGATTGCCTTGCTTCTCAGCCATTAAGGCAAAATAAACAACAGGAAGTTCATGCTAAGAATAGATGAAAGCTAATTATAAAACAGTTCATGAGTTAGTCCAAACAGGGAGCGTCTGACTCCTCCTTTCTCACCTTCGGTTTAGTCCTCCTTGACTGAAGTTGTTTTTAAAGCAGAGTCTGCCCTGGGATGTTCCTCCTTCTGACTTGTTTCAGATTCAGGAAAGGCAATTAGAATAGGGAGGTATGCTGAAGACATCTTTTAAGTTTCTTTCCCTCTCCTTTATCCTTACCCCCATAGCTCCAAACTGGTTTTTGTCTAAATACGTTGACTTTAAACATGGTGTTCTATAACAAATAGAATGATTTTACTTTGTAAAGCTGTGATTTGTAAAAAGAGATGCAGCTTTAAAGATACTCTTTTTTTTTTCTTTTTTAAAGGGTTTTTCTGTTTATTAGTAACAGAGTGGTAAAAATGAGGGCTATTTGAAAGTCTGAATTTCCTGATTTCAACTTTCTCTTTACTCTCAGCTGTGACTGTTATTGTAGATTTTTTAAAATACATACAACTGTTCAGACCACTGCATTTTCCCAGGCATGTAAGACCCTAGGCCACAAATACCATGGCTTCCCAAAGAAAAGCCTGTGGTGAGGTCCCTTTGCATGGGGTCCGACTCCCATGGTGACAAATAAGGGTGGTAGGAGGGAGCACGTGAGGGAACCATGTCCTCAGAAGGGACCGTGAAGGCCAGTTTCCTCACGTGCATTTTAGAGAGTGTTGGTCACTTCACCATCCAGCCGGGCCTCACGGCAAACTCTGTAACCTGTGTCGCTGAGAAAACATCAGTCACCAGCAGGCTCAACAGTTAGTTAGTGGCTTAAGGATAAAGTCTGGGCTCTGAAGCAGTATTTTTCCAACTTGCTTCACCCCAGCTCACTGCCCTAAATTTCTATGCCTTGAGTTTTAGGCGCTCCTTGTGCGATAATTAATCCTCTGGAATTAATGTAAAATAGTTCAAAATAAATACTGCCAGTTCCAGCTTATTTATATTTATATTATATGTAAGATACCAGTAGCTTGCTTTAGTGGGTTTTTTGTTGTTTTTGTTTTTTTAAAGTTGAATTTATTCATTTTATTATTTTTGTCTAACTTTTTTTGTGAAGGGGAGGCAATTAGGTTTATTTATTTATTTATTTATAGAGGCGGTCCTGGGGATTGAACCCAAGACCTTGTGCGTGCTCAGCACGTGCTCTCCCACTGAGCTACACCGCCCCCTATGCTTTAGTGTTTGATTTTGTTGTTGGCAGTGTTTGTTCAACTTTTTGTTTTTTTAAATCATCTCCCTTCTTCTCATACCTCCCTCCTGATCACCTTCTTCTCACCCAGGTAACCTATGTTCAAGAAATCTAAGCCATCTGAATGTGTTTAACTAAAGCATAATGTAAAAGGCAGGCCATACTGGGAAAGGAAAAAAAGAAAAAAAACCTGTAATTAATCCCACTACTAGAAGATTTTTAGGTGTTCTACCCCATAGTTCTGTCCTTAATCAAAAGAGTATGTACCCTGGGGTGTGTGTGTGTGTGTGTGTGTACAGAAAAATAAGCCAGTATCGCTTTGTAGAGAAAACGGTTTTAATATTTTCTGCATCTAAATCTTCTGTAGGGTGATAGCGTCCCTATAGAGACCTAAGTCCAAGAAAGCTGACCCCCTTTCCTGCCATTCCTAAATGCCCTCTGACCTCTTTCACGCCTTCCCAGCATCATCTGTTTGCAGGAGGCAAGACACACACACACACACACGCACACGCACGCACGCACGCACGCGCGCGCGCGCGCAGAGCCTCCAAGCCCCAACCAGACGCTGCACAAGGCACTGGCCGTCTGATACGGACATCCCAGCTCTTTATGCTGGGTCAAGTGCCAGGTGAGAAATATGAGTTCCCGACCAGCTGGGACCAGCAGCACCACACAGAGCACGCTAACAAGTTCAAACCCCACGTAGTAGGAGAAGGCTTAGGAAGGCGCAGCTGGTCAGCAGGTTTTCAGTGAAGGGAGAGGGAAGGAAGCTACACAGGTAGGACCCTCAAAGAATGGCTGTCGGTTTTGTAACCCTTGGTATCAATGGCAGTAGCTGCCTACACTTGAATATTAACAGGTTTTACATATCAAGTCACCCTTTTCTCATTTTAACGTTAACAATGTTGGCAGTTTGCAAAAGCCAAGTATTTCTTGCTGACGAAGAAAAAGACAAAGCCGCCTTGGGTTTACCTTCTTCCTATTTTCTTGGTCCCCTACCTGGCATGGATACATTCAGAATGCACAGCATTCAAGAAAGCCAGGCCATCCAGGCATAGCCAGTAATCTGTCATAGTGCATTAAAATTGCATTTCCTCCCCAGGCTTCAGGAGGTGAGATGACTTCACAGTTCAGATTGGGCACCATTAATCCTCATTTGTGCACTTGGATCTGTTATTGAGAAGGAACATTCAGTCTGGGTAGGACTGGATTTGCCTGATGTGCACATTGCAGAGGCCCCTAGGGCACAGCAGCTCTCAGAACATCCATTTCCAATGTTTGAGTTTTGTATCTGTTCATACTAAGTTTTGACTTTAAGAGTTTCTTTAAAGAAAAAAACAGGAAACATTTGGGGACTTACCTAAACCTTGTAATTGTGTCCCTTTAAGTACAAACTGCCTCTCTCACTCTGGAACATGGATCTGTCCCTGGAAACTGAGCGATGCTGAAAGTTAAAAAAGAAACGCTTCATCTCTGTGGTTTCAGAAATTTGCCTGAAGAAAATTTCCTTGTGAAAAGTCCCATTCATTAGAATGCATTTTTCTTTGACAATTTTGTGTGTGTATGTGGAAAGAAACTTTGACTTTTCTTTGCAAATTGGTTTCTCCCTTTTATTTTTACGAAGTTCTTTTCAACCCCAGTTTTACTTTTTGTCGACCCACTCTCCCCCAGCCCCTTGGAAACGCACTGCAGCCTTTCCTTGGGGCTTCCCAGTGGAGCAGCCAATCCCGGTTCCTCCTCCCGAGAAAGCCGGTTAAGGTTCCATGAAGCAGCTGCAGAGGCTACTTCACCAGTTTTGGGAGCTCCCTTCCCTCCCAGACACCATGCCCAGAATATCCTAGGGGCATCCAGCCTGGGGCCTCCCCAGAACCATCTGGGGAAGGATCGGCAGCTATCCCTAGCACCCTTTGACCTGAAATGCAATCTTGCCTGTTACATATCAAAACACAATTACCTTCCATCACGTCACTTGGATCCCTTCCTTTTTGCTTTCTTTAACCTGCAGATGGTCTTGCACAGGTGGCTAGAGAGATGGGAGAATGAAATGGAAAGGAAGTTAGGAGAGCTTACCTCTGCAGTGTAGCTCAGATCTTCCTCATTCTGCCCTGGTTGGCTGTATTTCTGGAAGTGATGGTTAAGAGCGAAGAGCTGGGCCCTGCTTAGTCTTTGACTGGCTTCTACACCTCATGCGTTCATTTGCAAGGCTAATGCCCAGTGTATAATTCTGATCACAGCTGTTAAACTCCAGCTACCTATTTTTCCCTGTCTTGACTCATTGCCAGTCATTTCTAAGATGATTATTAGACTGTGTGTTAAGAGATTTGCCAAATCAAAGCTGGATGGATAATTAGGTAAATGATTGAGGAATCCAGGCAGCATTACTGCTCTATCCATTATTTCTAAATTGCTGCAATTTGCTTAGAATACACAGGACACTCTCTCCTAAAAGGGACAGTATGTGCTACAAACCTCAGGCCTCCCAGGAAAAATCCCACGCCTGCAGTCTCGTCCCCCACTCTGCCCCAGGACTGCCACCTTCATGCCCAGGACGGCTGAAAATAAGTGCTCATGTGCAGTAAGCAGACACGACCCACAGAAGATTACAGGTGAAAAGGAAGCCATGCTTAGCCAGTGTCTCTTCAGAAGTCAGGAAAACGCGAGGGAGGATTCCTGTCCTAAAAGACTTAACCGCACTGGACATTTATCCATCTCTTTCATTCGCTTTCAGTATGAGAGACAGCCACATGCTTAGCTTATCTGTCGTTAAAGCGTTCCTGAGAAGAGGCGTGGGGAACTGAGAAGCGAAGAATACCTTACTCTGGTTTTTTTTTTCCCCCTCTTTAGGTCCAGAGGGTGCAAACCTCTTTATTTACCACCTTCCACAGGAGTTTGGAGACCAGGACATCCTGCAGATGTTCATGCCTTTTGGAAATGTTATCTCTGCTAAAGTCTTCATTGACAAACAGACCAATCTGAGCAAGTGCTTTGGTATGCAAAAAGAGCCCCAGCTAGAATAGCACAGTGCATTCCCGAGTGAGGAGTCGTGGGAAGGAAAATGTCAATGGCCAGTATTTTAGGAGGCGGGATGGGGCCTTCAATGTGTGTCATGTGTCCTGGATCCATGTAAGCAGATTGGGCAAAGTCACCTCATCAAAAAGAGAGAAAGGAGCTAGATAAAAAGGAACGATGTGGGAAATGAAGTGCCCACACCATAGGCGATGCTGCACGCTGCACGTCTCGCTACCTATAACCAGTGCTCTTCCATTATAGAGCAACAGCAAGCTCTTTAGGCCCCATAATTTGAACCACAAATGTCACCAGGTGGAAGTACAGTTTACACACTGTGGGGTGGTTTAGGCTGTCCTGGCATAGAAAGGCATGCAGACACCTGGCTACAAACTCATAGCCTTCCGGGTTCACTGTGACTCAGACACTGGGGATGGGGGCAGCACATTGTATTGGGGGCATCCGGATGGACATAAAAACACATTCACCGGTGCCATCACAGTACGGATGTGCTCAGGGCCTGCCATGTCACAGCTCCACAAGCCCAGGGGTGGGGGGTTGATTTAGCTCACAGAGATGTGAAATGCTGCACTATGCTGGGATCAGGAGCTAGAACTGGGATGGCAGGATCTGCAGGGCCTGCCTGAGTGGGTGCAGTGCACAGGAGATGCAGGTGCTCTCAGCACGCTGGCAAACCCAGCTCCTTGGTGGCCCGAGCTGTCACAGCCTCCTCCCTCAAGCAGCCTGGACTCTGCCCCCGGGCGATTTTTGCTCCCTGAGAGAGTAAGGCGAAGTCACTGCTTGCACTACTGTCTTACAGCAGGAGGAGCACTCTCACTAAGTCTGTTTCTCCTTTCATTTCTTAAACCCTTTTGGTCCCCAAAGTAGTTTAGCGGCTGGAATATTCAGAGTGTATACACTACTCACTTGGCAAGTTCTGGCCCAGTCTGAGGTACAGCATTTGCTTTAATCTCTCCTCCAGCTGAACAGTTCACATTGGTGGCAGGTACCAACAGTAGCACAAAACAAGGAGCACAGATATGGGCCAGAGGAAGTACAATAGAAGTACGTGGTGGAAGGAAAACATCAAAGGTGGAGGTGGTTCTCAGAGAGGCAAACCCTCAAACTTGGTATTCAGCTGACCGGTAATGGGGCACCCAGTCTAAAGAGAATGTCTTGGCTTCTCAAATCCATTATCATAAGGTCTTTCTAATTTCTGTGCTGTTGCCCAGGAAGGCCTGAAGCCTCTGTTGGTAGAGGAATTAGTGTATCAGCCATTTAAAGTCACTGTTTTTATCCAAGTGGAAAGGCTGTTAGCCTGAACCCATTAGAAGTATATAAACGCCCCTGTGATGGTTCATGCGAGTGAAATGGAGAGTAAGTCATCCTGCCGGGCGTGGGCGCGTCCCGCGGAGAGCTCACCGCGGGGAGCGCCCCCGCACAAGGCTACGGGCCAGCCATTTGGATTCCTCGTCCCTAAACAAGGTGCTGGGCTTGTTTGGAGACTGGAAAAGGATTGTATTTCCTGGTTTGATTTTGAGAAAATATTTACTGTCTTGAAAAGAGATTCTGTCAGCCCACAAAGCACTTAACCAGTTTTCAGAATAATGCCCCACTGCATAGCTGGGAGGACCGGCAGGCAGCCGTGTCCAGCACCTGGCACTGCGTTTTCAGTTTGTGTTAACAGGGGCAGCAGCCCGTGCCTAGGTGTGCTGCCTGCCCGGGGCCCCGGGTGTGCTGGTCACAGGCGGCACTCCATCCTGAGCCCCTGGCCAGTTTCCTTATCCGTCATCTCGCCCTTGACCCATCTCCATTCTTTAATCGTCTTGCTACCTCTGGATAAAGACCTAGAGTAAAAGGAGAAAATCAGCACAAGAATCTTCAAGGTCACATTTATTGGGAATTAGATTTAACAAAAACTTAAACCACCGCTTTGCACACACCCGGCCTGTGAGCATCGGTCCTGCCTTATACTATGTGCCCACTTTTATCAGCCGAGAACTCTGCTAAAGGTACATTTGTGTCCCTGTCTTCCTCCTCTAACCTGCGAAGGAATTTTCTCCTTGGCTTTAATCGTCCATGGCTGGAAGAACTTAGTCTATATACAGAACTTTCTGAACAGCACATGGTCAGAGCTAAAATCCAATCAGCGTGACAGCTTCCTTTCAACAACAAAGCAGGGGCCATACAAGCTCCAGCGTTAAGTAAAGACACCTTTGCGTGGACCCCCCCCCCAACCAGTGTTAAAACAGACTGAGTGGTCAGAGCTGCGCCTGGGTCTTGGCAAGGCACGGGTGCTTGTCCAGAGCACGAGTGTCACACAATGAGAGGAAGATCCCGGAAGTGTGAGAGGAAGGCTGTTAAGCCCTGAGCTGTTTAGACTGTTTGTTCCCTAGGACTCGGGCATACAAAGTAGCAATTTCCATTCTGCTGAATTCAGTAGAGCTTTGAAAATGGAAGTTAAGGAGAATGGCCCAGCATTTCTCCTGGGTCCCTGGGTTCCTCTCAATAATAGTGCCAAGTGGTAAAAATCAAGTATAAATTATTCTAGAGCTAATTCACTGACTGACCCCATCCTGCATACACTAAGAGTTGGACTAGAAAGAGGCAGGGTCTTTGGCAGCACATCTGTTACCCAGCCCTTCCCTTAACTGTCCTGCCTTTGAACCTCACCGGGTTGGGGCATGTGAGCCTCCGGGGCCCTTCGAGATCTAGAATATTTATGCCACCGCTTCTGTGAGCACCACTTACTGATGTACCGGAGTTTCTGTCAAAGGGGCCTTAAACAAATGGATCTGACTGAAATCAGTAAACAAAGAGACCCAATTCACTCAAACAATAGGGACTGAGACTTTAGCTTTCTGCGGAGGGGTTTTGTTCTCATGATAGCAAACTACCAGTCCAGCCAGCTTTTTCACTGTGTCTCCACTGCTTCTCAGTGGATGTTTCCAGTGCTGCCCCTCCACCATAACCTGTAGTCCACGGACTGGGTAGAGCTGAACCGGGACCAGAGGATGGGCGCGTGTTACCACTCGCAGTTACACTATCCAGCGACCCGGAGACCCCTGCCCCTCCTCGGCTCTCTCCCCATCTTGATTCCCACCCTCCTTCCCCTTGTGTTTTCCAGGTTTTGTTAGCTACGACAATCCAGTGTCTGCGCAAGCTGCTATCCAGGCTATGAATGGCTTTCAGATTGGCATGAAACGCTTGAAGGTCCAGCTGAAGCGCTCCAAAAACGACAGCAAACCTTACTGATCCTAACCCCAGAGGCTCCCTGCTCTTATTTTAGCTTTCTTAGGGTAAGTCCCACGAGCCAGCCTGTTCTCAACAGGAAAGGCAGAGGAGGACCACATTGCCAACTTTTACCAAGAGAGACGGTTATTTTTACAATAAGGCCTCCATCTCCCCCTCCCGGCCCCTCCCCAGTTCGCCATAAGTAACACTGCGGCTACCTTGTTTCTATCGAGTAAACTCCTCCTCCAGTTGTGCCACTGTATTCTCCTTTGTTTTGCAATTTGAATCTCCTTTTACCTTTTTTTGTTTTGTTTTCGTTTTTTCGCTTTTTTAAAAAGAAAAACACACAGACACAAATAAATGACATCTTGAGAATTTAAACGGCAAGCAAAGGCAAACGTGCAATTCTGAGACCCCTGGTGCCCCCAGCACTGCCTGGAGGAGTCACCCCTCCAGGCTGCGCCCACCCCTTAGGAGGGGCACCAGCTGTTCGTAGAGGTTAAGGCGGTGGCCTAGCGCAAGAGAAAAGCCAGGAGAAGCACTTAAAACAATACAAAATGTCTTTCCACTACATTTGGTTTCTTTTAATCAGAAGGATTTTATTTTAGGGTTCAAAGAAACGACACTTATTGGTCAGATTATTACTACTGGTTTGTCTATTTTGTTGTTGTTTTATTTTAGTTTTTAGAAAGGATTAATGTAAAAAAAAAGATTTAGAGATCTGTTTCTTAAAGCTACAGGGTTTAAAAATAAAATAAAAATGAGTGAAAATACTTGACGTTTCTTGAAAGATAAATTTAATAATAAATAAATACATAAATAATACATAAATAAAAAAGAAAGCCACAGGCCTGTAAATTTTATTTGTAAAAAAAGCATTTCTATTTTTGTACAAAATTTTTACTGCCTCAGAAATAATGGAAGTTATTTATTGCCTATTGTTAACTTATTGGGTACCTAAGGAGCAGTTCTCTGTGCTAGCTAGATCCTTTTGAAGTAGTCTCTAGAGGAATCCTTCTAGGAGTGGGCTTTTTTCACCGTTGAACCCTAGGCCTAAAGTTCATGCTTTATCCTCTCGTTGTTTGTATCTGTCTGATGATTTTGTTCGTAACTTCCATTACCTAGTTTACGGCTCGGTCGTCTGACTTTCCCCGTATGTTACATTTGTTGAAACTGGACCCTCTTTCCCATCCCTTGCCAGCCCCTCACCCCAGAACACCCGGAATCCATCCCCTCTCCCTCTCGGATGGATTCTCCTGGGTTCCATTGTGCTGTGGATAAAGACTGTAAGAAATGCAAATTACGTGGATGGCTCGCGACTCCCTAATGCCCTAAGATTTGCATTAGTTTTTCTCCCGCACCCTGAAGAGTGATTTTTGTTGCTGCTGCATAGATTCTGTGTAACTTTTTACTCTTCCTGTTTTCTCCCTAGACATCTTCATGCCCGTTAGTTCACCGTTTGCCTAGCATGTCCCTGTGGCGTCTCAAAAAAAACAGTTTCATCGTCCCGTCATTGTTTCTGATGTCTTTCTGACCTCACATCATATTTGGTTCTCCTACTGACCTTTGATCTAGTTTGACCTTTGAAATTTGCATGTGACCTCATCTAGCTATGAATTCTGGGAAGTCAATGTGAAAAACATTGCTGCATTCATGCAAGACTGAAATTTATTATTAGACAAATTAATTATAGAAGAAAAACCTGTGGCAAAAATGTTTCTTTCTTCTTCTTTTTTTTTTTCTTTTCATAAAACAGACTTGAAAGTATTATACAGGGATTGGCATTCTTCCCGGTCACTGGTAACAATAGCAATATGTGTCCAGGGACACAGAATGTTGGTTTCTAACAGACTACTTCCAAAAACAGTTTGAGAAAAAAACTGTCTGATTTTAAGTCTCTAGAGGTCTGTAATAGTTTTTACATTTTTCAGGCAGTGTAAAGTTTTTTGATAAGGCCATTTTAGGTGGCTCACTTTCTCATTAAGATATATATATAGAACCACTTTTTGTAGATTAGTATAAGAAAAATATTTACCCTGTTTTGGGGCAAATGCTACCTATTTGTGTCACCTTTTGCTGAACTGACTCACAGTTAGACAATCCATGGTTTAATGCACATGAAATGACCTATATTTTTTACTGTTTCAATGTACAGGAGAAAGGTTACTGTAAACTGTGTTACGTTGGTGCTTCTGTGAATTAAGTTGTGGTTTCATCATGAGTCTTATGGTCTTAATGTTCTTTGTTGATAAGACACGTTTAGAATTGGTTTATTTAAAACAAAAAAGAATTTCAAAAAAAGTTCGCTTAAAAAAATTTCACGTGAGGGGAAAAACAAAAACTATTCCAGAATAAGTTTTGTGTTGGCTTGTAAAGCATTGATGTCATTTTTTTTTTATTGTGGACTATTTAGATGTGTTTGTGTTCAGCAAAATGTGATTTTTTTTTCTTTTAAAGAAAAAAAGTGAAAATATATAGTGCCAAATTCCAAAGGTACTTCCTTCCTAGAGCTTCAGTGTGTTTCTTGTGAGAAGTAATTTGATAACATGGGTATTTTATTATGTGTTTTGTATAAATCCCTAATATTTAAAAAACAAAAAACAACAAAAAAAAGAGGTTAAAAAGTTTGTTAACTTGCTATCCTGTGGTCTTGTTGCCTGAAATTGTTATTGTTTGTTATTTCTCTATAATGTTTTTTGTAAGACATTGTATAAGTGCCCATGTCTCACTTTTTTAACCACTCTGCACATCAATGCTGTGACGGCAACCTCACAATGTATTTTCTTCATAATCTATGGAAACCTCTAAGGTGAGAAAGTTTTGAACTTTTAACCCTTTCTACCCAGAGCTGTCTGGAATGTTGATAACTTTTTATACTGTCATCATTTTTGTTTGATTTTGGGGTGTTTCTAATTTGGATTTTTTTACCCCCTACATATCTTTTTGAATTGTTTTTTCTCTTTAGTATTTTTTTACCCTTTGGGTGAGATCCAAAAGAAAAAAACTCCACAAGGAAAAGCTGAAGGAAAAAAATGTACTTTAACCCTCGGGTTGTTTTTGGTTTTGTTTTTTTGTTTTTAATTCTTAATTTGCTGCTGGAATTCCTTCTTCAGTTTTAATTAAAGACAGTTCACTGGATCAACCTTCTGAGGTGAATGGTAGACACATTCGAGCAGCTAAATAGACCTTAAATTCAGTATGCAGGGTAGTGCCAGTTACTTTCATACACCTTCCAGCTAAATGGCTCTGTGATGGGGTAGTCTTTGGAGGGATTTTTGCTTTTGTTTCTTAAATGCTCCTGATTAACGTTTCTACTCAGCCATTGTGTTGGGGATTCTCTGACCCCCCGTGGATACCTCTGAATAAGCAAGGTGTCTGGACTTGGAAGCTGAAAGTCCCTTCCCTGCCTCTGTATTTTGAATTGAACGCATTGAAGGGGACTGACCACACAAGTGAAACTCAGTTCTTTATCACAGTCACTGACCAAAAACCTAGCGCCAGCCCCTGCCGCCACTTTCCAAAGTGCCATATTCCTTTGACTTGCTGTCTTGACAAACCCCGAAGTCATCCCCACAGCCCCGACACAAACTCCTGCCTTTCTGGAAGCTTCTTTGTCTCTAATGGCGTTCAGAAACTGCTGGCTCCCTTTCCTTCCTCCTTTGTCCACTCACCACCACCCCGTTTGGTTTAATGTGTGTGTGGATGCAATAGCCCTGGGATGGAAAGGACTAGCCTCTAATCATGCAAAAAAAAAAAAAAAAAGTTTCCTGCTTACAGCACATGCACTTACAATGAAACGACTTGTACTATCCTCACACGTGTTTACTACTCCTGGGGCCTTCCTGCATCCTTCGAGGGCTATTTGGTTCTTCCTGCGGCAAGCGGCTCAGTGAAAGGTTATCACGCGCGTCTCCCTCGTATACATGAGACGGTGGGACAGAGACACACACGAGGGAACACAGGACGGCACCATTTGAATTCCCTAGACTGTTCCGTTCAGAATGTCTTATTAAATAAATTACACATACATCTTAAGCATTTTTTTCCCCCTTTCTTCACTGAAGCAGGACGTGCTCCACTGCCCTGACCGGAGGCGCAGGGTGGGCACTTAGAGCTGGTGTTGATTCTGCAGGCAACCAAGACAGTGCTTTTGGGGGGCGGGGAAAGACCTTTTTTTTTTTTCTTTTTTGGTATATTTCATTGTTAAAAAGATAACCCCCCTCAAAGACAAGCTGTCCTTTTCTTCACTTTATCTTTTAATATCAGAAGGGACAAGCTGCAGGGTGCGAAGGGCCTGTGCCAGAGGAAAAAAAAAAAAACACAGGGAAACTGCTTTTTTAAAAATCAAGTGTAGACAATAGTCGTTTTTAAACTAAATTAGAGAATTGCGATCAAATGGCAGTCCTCAAAGGCGTCACAAGTTCATCTTTCTTTCACCATAGGGGTTCTAGTTTGGCTTACGCTACTCTGGACTCATTTTACTGTTTCTGTTTTTATTATCTTAAGTGCTAATTAACAAGAAGAAATAAAATTTTAAAAAAAACCTGTAGTTTCATTACCTTTTTGAATAATGTCATACAAAAAAATGTATTTGTGTTTTTTTGTGCTGTGAGAATTGTTGTTTGTAGATTAATATCATTTTGTTTAGAATTATAAAATAGTTTTTAAATATTGTCTGATAAAAGCCAAAGTTAATGCACCCTAGTGAAAACTGTAAGACCATTTGAGTATTGTTTCTGTTTTATTGATGCATTTGGATTTTGTTGTTTGATGGAATTTGAGCCAAAAAAAAAACAAACAAAAAAAAAACAACAAAAAAACGCAGGCTTTCCTATTTCTACAACTGATTGTACTTATGCATTTTGTACCAGTGGAACTTTTTATACTGGAGATTAAAAAAAAAAAAAGGAAATTTTTGTGGCTTACTCTAGTGGGCCCCCTGACAATGACTGACTTCAAGTTTGATTTCTGGTTGATAGAAAGAAAGTTGCTTTACTTTTGAGAATTAAAAACTTTGGCTTGATTTCTTTTTTCCCTTTGCTTATATCTAGCATTAGAATTTTGTCTTAAAAAAAATACAGCGGTAAGTTTCACTTTTTATTCTGTATTGTGCAGTTACACAATAAGGTAATTAGATTTAGAAGTACTCAGTCACTTTAAGTGGATAAATGTATTAGTTAAAACTTTAGGGGTTTGCTTTTTTGCTGTTTAGATCAAAGTTTTTTCTGATTCTTCTGTCCTCATTGTGAACATAACCGTGTAGTTGAAACAGTCAAACTTATTTTTGTAACGTATGTTATTGTGTGATGCAGTTTTTGGCTTCTGTCTCCAATATTAAACCATTTCCTAATACCTGTTCCTCTCTCTGCGTGTTGTGTTGTTGGCAGTCATTCTGTGTTGGTGATGCATCTACACACCTCACTGTTTCACGTATCTGTTTTTTTCTATATGTTGTGTAAAAAAGATACAGTCGATTCCACCTAAGTGAATATCTGATTTAGGGGAAGGAGAAACTGCACACCAGCCACCTCTAATTTAATTACCACAGCCTATTTTAACCTCTGCTTCCAAGATTTCTACATACTTTCTATGGTCTACCTAGACACCTGCCTCCAGGGATGGATTTGCCAAGACCTTGCAAAGTCTTTTGAGCACACTGGTACATTTCACTCTCCCCCCTCCCGCTCTGGACCTCCCCTCGCCTTCTCTCTCAGACCCCCTCTCTGGGACACAGTGATGCAGATCTCAACACTCAAAAAACAGCTGCTGTTTTGCTGCGTGACCTTAAGAAGCAGCAGATCTGGGGTTCCTTCTATTGTTACCATTAAACTCCTATCAGAAACCAATCACATTTTTAAAGAGGTGAGCTCTCAAGAGAAGAAGAACTTAAAAACGTACTCACCTGGTGAACAGGTGTGAAAGGGTTAAACTTAAATGTGTGTTGCCATCATCAATAGAAAAGTAATTTAAATTATTCATTTTTGAGAGCTAGCTGAATCCAGGAGCAGCTTTAATTATTAAAACTAATGGAAGGGGAAAACACTTTCAAGGGCTCAAACGGAAGCTCTACTCAGGCCGGCGGGATGGGAGGGGGAAGAGGTCAAGTTTCTCATGCTCACGTCTTCACAGTATGTCATCTGTTTCCAAATGAAAGCCAAGAATGCCATGTGCATCCACATGCTCCCTCGTGAATGAGTGTCTATTTTTTATAGCACCTCGTCCCCCACGGTCACCACCAACCCCCAGTTAGCATAAAGAGAACACTATTCCTTGTCTGCCCTGTCAAGCTGAAGCCACAGGCCCGCCTCCCTTTTCTGCCCTTCTCTTCTGCTCAGGAATCTGACTGCTCTCCAAGTGCTCTTACAAGAGTCCACTGCTGTCTGCCCCCGTCTTCTCTCTCCTTCCAGCTCTTCAGACACACAAGCTCTGTCTGACTCAGGCCTCCCGGCACCCGCAGCCTTCCTCTGGCCGCCAATGAGATTGTCCCTGCAGGTGCTCGGGCCCTTCCCCCTCTGGTTCCAGCAGCCCCTCTTGACCCCTGGGTTGTGCTTTCTAGTCGGCTCAACCGCAGAGGGGTCTGGCGAGGTGGAGGAGAGGAGGCTCTTTCCCCCACAGGCCCAACGCCGCAGCGAAGTGACCCCCACCCGCTCCAAACCCGCACAGATGAGCTGACTTCCTGCCAACACTTCTACTTTAAACCACTCCTCATAGCCTTCATCCGCTTGCCCCCGACAGCCCACTGCTTAGCTTAATGGGAAAAGACAGCTAAGGGTGTGGTTTCTTTTTCTCTCTTCTGTTACTTTTTTTGGGGGGTGAAGGGTGTGAGGGAGGGGAGAAGGGGGTAAAGAGGGTGAGCAATTCTCTCCAAGATGCAAGTGTTTATTTTTGAAATACTTAAGTAATATACGTATCTATATCCACCATTCGGCACAAGGCAAAATACTCATGCTGAGTAAAAGAAGGGAAAGACAAAGCCAGATTTTGTTGTTGTTGTTTTGGAAAAAATAGCAAAAACAATAATTCTCCAAAGAAGGGGACAAACATGCTAGTTCCCTGAAGCACTTATGACTGTACAGTTGGTCCCTACTTCAGTTTACACTTACCATTGTGAGTCTGTAAAGCACCACTGTGGTGTCAGCAAGGCGCATCAGTCTGCCACGCACGGGCCGCCTGGCGGAATGCCACCTGTCAGCGCTCACCTTGCTGACGGAAGCCGCCCACCTGCCTAGCCCACAGCACTCACGCGCCATTTTGGGCGGACACCCTTAGCTGGCAGGCTAGGAAACACAGTGAACCTCGATGTACTGTGAATCATTCCTGATAAGTGAATAAAACATTGTGACCAAACAATCAGCTTATTCACTTATCAGGAATCGACTGTTCTGCTAATTTGCTGTTTTTGTTTTTCATCTCTGTTGTAGTTCACTATTTCTGCTGTGTTCTGTTTTCTTCTCTCATGCTTGGGCAAAATCAATGGGAATATTATCTTCATGTGACCATGAAACGTTTATATCGAGTGAAAATGATATCTTGACAAAATCTATGCACTTGCTATCAGGAACACAATACTGGATGTGTCTTATATATATTGAACTATATAGTACTCGATTTCTTAAATAAAGCTTAAGAAAGGACTCTCTTGTGTGTAAAGTTAATGTGATTATTTTTCAAAGCAGTGTTTCTAAGGGGTGTTTTTGTTCTTTTAAGTCTTGGGTGAGTGATACAGGATATTTTTCATTAAAATTATATCACTGGCTTTATGACTTAATATTCAATAAATTGACTTTGGAAACAAAACAGAGTGGGGGGAACTTCTTCTGGGTGCATTTTAGGGGGAGACATCTGGAAAACTATCCCCTTGCTGGTGGCCATGGCAAATGTCTACCCAGGGCGCTGAGGGGGCCGGAACAGAGCCACCCCTTTATGGCCGAAAGAGCCCTAGAAAGCCTCCAGAATCTGCCCTCGTCTAGAAACCCAGCTGCTTTTCTCAGTGTGACCCCTTTAGGATCAGAAGAAGAGGTATGAAAAAGGAAGGCAAGAATAATGCTGGTTTGCATCAATGCTCTTGCAAAATCATGTGACGGTGCAGCTGCACCTGCCGGAGAGCTATGGCGGTTCTATTCAGGACTGCAGAATGAGAAAAAGCAAGAGAAGGCATCTGATCACTCAGGATGAGAAGGGTAAAATTTCAAAGCACTATGTGAGAGAGAGAGGCCCTACAACAGTTGCAGAGTTTAAATGGGACGCCTGCTGCTGGGACCTTTGAAGGAATATTTTTGAAATTTTTTCTACAGGCCATAAGTCTGAACAGAATGGCATTTTCTGTTGGCTTTTTTGCTTTGGGGTTTTGTGTTAGATTTGTTTTTCTTCCTTGATGTTGGATTCTAAGAAAAACTCCTAAACTTCTACTTGCAAAATGGCACAGACATCCTGACCCTTTACAAAAGAAATCTTAATCATCCTTGATGACGAGGGACAGGAGAGCATGGCTCATGAAAACCCACAGATAATCCAAAATTCTTCCTCCAGTCCCTGCCTCCTCCCACCCCAAACCTCCTACTCATAAATTTGTCACCAAAAACAAAAAGCTCCAGTGAAAAGTGAGAGATCAGAGAACGAGCCAAGGGTAGAAAAATCAAAGGGTCGGAATAGTCACGCTTGCTGGGGCCCTGTAGTTTGGGAGTGGGGTACAGGTTCTGTTTAAAATAAGGTTTTGAACATTTTGAAGACCATAGGACTCCATGAATTAGGCTCGTGTGTTGAAGAATCAGTGGCCTTGCCTTGAGCGTCAGTTACATAGCTGGAAAGCATCCTCTTTGGGGGTGGGAGGTTACACATGCAAGGCAGGAACGGGTGGGAGAGCTCTGAGCCCCAGTCAGGGAAGAACGAAAACCAGCCCCTTCCCCTCCTGCTCTGCAGCCACGATTCAGTCACCCCCACTCCCGACCTCCCCAGGCAGGAGCCGCGCGCTGGAGACCAGCTCAGAGTGGCAGCCGGAGTGGCTGTTGGGTGGGAGCTGCTTTGGGGGGACACTGCATTTCTCACCTGTCTCTGCTATTTCTCTGCCAGCAGCAAAGCAGCCTGACGCCACATGTGCCTGCCTCCATGTGAAGGATGTCTTTAAAAATAAAAAATATATAAGTGCATATATAAATATATAAATAGATGCAGTCCATGTTCTGCAACTGGTCAATGATAGTTAAAGCCCAGCCAAGAAGTCCCCAGCTCTGAGACACTAGGTGACCCTTCTACCATCAGCAAGCTGTGTTCAGGCACAGAAGGTACTTAGGGGCCATCCCTGGTGGGCCACACTGCCTCACTTGGAATGCCAGCCCCACCACTAATTACCCATGGAACCTCTCCGTGTCTTAACTTTCTCAATAACAAAATGGGGGTAACAGTAACACCTACCGCAAAGTGCTGTTATGAGGATTAGCTAAACCAACGCGCAGAAGGCAGTCAGATCAGGATCCACCACGCTGTGGTGGTGCCTCCTGCCGCGGTCGGCTAGGCGCCCCTCCGGGGCCTGCTCTGTTCTTTCTCCACTAGGGACGCACTTGGCCATCCCCAGAGAAACCCACAGCTCTCCTTGGACGACTCCAGACAAGGTCCGACCAGAAAGGACAGCTCCTCCAGCAGAGACGTCTGCACCCACAAGGTCCAGGACAGGCTTGTCCCCTCCTGAGAGCCTGTGCCCTGGAGGCGTGCCTGCCCGGTGCACTGCCCTGAGCCTTGGGGAACAACTGATCTCCATTCTCAGAAAGGGAAGCTGATTCCTCACCCAAATCCGCCCCTTCCTACCACTAGTACATTTAGGTATCTCTTACCCAAAAGAAAAGCCTTGCTGTCCAGTTTGGGTGCTAGATGGGAATGACAAAATTACCTAGAGAGCTGCCTGTGACAAGCCTGTAGGTCCTATGCCCTTCCAAGGCAAAGCTGCGTCCTCAGCAGCGACCAGGACCGACAGTCTCTGACCACCCTGGGAAGAGCAGGGGTCAGGGCTCAGAGAAGCCGGGGTGCACTCAAGCAGGGCGTGCTCGTGACCACTTCACCCCACCCCCAATTTTGCCAAAAGTGCTCTGCTTTTCCTCGTTTCAGTTATTAGTGGTCCACGTGGAAGTTTACTTAGAAACACAGTTTTGCTAGTAAACGATTAAAAACCACCGCTTTAGAAGAGGGCAGCTCTGAGAGAGGGTCACCAGTAGCTAAGCCCTGTGACATACAGTTCTTGTCTTCAGAGTCATTCGCTCCTTCCCTTTTCTTTCCTCATCTCTCTACCGCTTCTATGTTTCCGTAGTTCGTTGTCTGTGATGCGTGACAGTCACCGCTTTCTGTGCGTTGTCTACATGTTG